CGTGCTATTTGTGAAGTTGTACCCGGCTACAATCCCCAAACAGTGCTTGCATTCAGGGGTTCTTCTCACATTTTTCCTGGAAAAGGGCTCCGTCCCAGGGTTCTCATTTAGTAGGTAAACCTGTCCCCGGTGCCATGCGGGAGGTGGGCCGGTGGAATTGTTTCCTGATAATTTTCATGGTCGAGGTGGGCCGGCGGAATTATTTTTGAGAACGTCTCGAGCGAAACGCCTGTTTTCCAGAATTTGTTGAGGATGTCTCGAGCGAAACGCTGGTTTTGCAGAGTTGGGGATGTCTCGAACGAAACGCTTGTTTTCAGAATTTGTTTAGGATGTCTCGAGCGAAACGCTGGTTTTGCAGAGCCGACCGCGACGCGGAAAAGCGCCCCGCGCGCAGGAATTCCGAGGATGTCTCGCGCGTGCCGCGTCCCGCGCGCAGGAATTTCGAAGATGTCTCGACTAAGTCGTTTGTTTTTCTATGATTTCCCTACCTAGGCTCTGCCTAGAAGGGATCTTACTGTTAGGCTTAAAGGGCCGGGCAGTGCAACCCGCCTCCGGGCGGTTCCCCCGGCATCCGCCCCGCGGTTCCCCCAGTTGCGCCCCCTAGGTTCACCAAGCTTAGCTTAGCTTAGCTTGGCTTAGCTTAGCTTAGCTCATCTTAGCTTAGGTAAGCTTAGCTTAGCTTAGCTTAGCTTTGCCGAGTCTAGCTTCGCTTAGCTTAGCTTAGCTTGGCTTAGCTTAGCTTAGCTGAACCTAGCTTAGCTTAGCCGAGCTAAGCTTAGCTTAGTTTAGAATAGCTTAACTTACCCAAGCTTAGCTTAGCACAGCGCAGCGTAGCGCAACGCAGCATTAGCACAGCATAGCATATCATAGCATAGCATAGCCAATCATAGCATAGCATAGCATAGCATATCATAGCATAGATCAGCATAGCATAGCATAGCATATCATAGCGCAGCATATCATATCATATCATGTCATAGCATTGCTTAGCAAATCACATCGCAGCATAGCACAGCACAATATATCATATCATATCATAACATAACATAGCATACCATAGCGCAGCATGTCATAGCATAGCGTAGCAAAACATAGCGCAGCATAGCATATCATAGCATAGCCTAGCATAGCATAGCGTAGATGCAGGTGTATATGTCAATGTAGCTGTCGGTGTAGATGTAGATGTTGCTGTCCTAGATGCTCCAACTCCTAGGTCGGGTCGCACTGGGAATTCGCGTGACAGTATTGAGTTGTTGCGTGCCCGCTCGAGGATGGTGCGCCCCCCGCGCCAAATCGGCGAGGATGTCTCGAGCGAAATGCTCGTTTGGCAAAAAACGTGGGGGACCTGGGCGCCCCAGCATGCCCCAGGAGGCCCTGGGAGCGCGGACGCGACGTAAATCCACGAGGGGTCGTGGCGTTCGGAGCGCGGACCACGCGTAATGTGCAAGGGATCGTGGCCCTCGGAGCGCGGGCGCAGTGTAATTTACGAGGGGTCGGGGCCTTGGGAGCTCGGACGCCATGTACTTTACGAGGGATCGTAGCCCTGGGAGCGCGGGCGCAGCGTAGAATACGAGGGATCGGGGCCTCGGGGGGCCTCGGGGTTCGGACGCAGCGTATTTTTTCGAGGGATCGTGGCCCTGGGAGCGCGGACGCAGCGTCATATTTACGAGGGGTCGGGGCCTTGGGAGCACGACCCCAATATATTTTACGAGGGATCGTGGCCCTGGGAGCGCGGACGCAGCGTCATATTTACGAGGGGTCGGGGCCTTGGGAGCACGACCCCAATATATTTTGCGAGGGATCGTGGCCGTGGGAGCGCGTCCCGTGGCACGTCCATTGGCACGTTCCGTAGCGCGTCCCCTTGGCACGTCCCGCGGTGCGTCCCCATGGCACGTCCCCTGGCACGTCGCCTGGCGCGTCCCTGGGGACGTTCCGTGGCGCGTCCTCCTCGCATGTCTCCGTGCCAATCAGCTACGTGCTCAGGCAGCTCGAGCTTACGACCCAGATCAGATCGGTCAGGACTCGGATGCAAAGGAGGACTCGATCCACAACGCTATAGAGCACAAGCGCGGCATGGCACATCGCAATTGAGCACGGCGCAGCACAGCACAGCTCTCGGCACGGTACATCAAGATCGATACACTCATCATTGCATTTGCCCGTCGCCCAATCAGGTGTCTTTGAAACGTTGCCATGTCTTACATTTCTAGATTCCTTTCCGGGTTCGTGGATCGATCATGTTTAGAAAGGCCCGTTGTCCCGCCGCCCCTTCGTTCCGTCGCCACCCCTTCGCCGCGCGTCGCCGCAAGTCGACGCCTCGTCGCGGGCTCGTGTGCCGCCCCAGCCGGCTTGTGGTCGCCGCGTCGCCGCCCTGTCGCCGCTCGTTGCCGCCCTTCGCCGCCTCGTCGCTGTCTGTCGCCGCCGTTTCGTTACCGCATTGCATTGCAATCGCGCTGCATGGCGCGACATGCCTTACGCCACATAGATCGCACGCCATTGATTGCCCCACGTCGGTTGCACTACACCGATTGCACTACATAGTTCGTGCATCAACATTAGATCAGACCGCATGGATTGCACCACATAGCTTGCATCACAATGCTCACACACCCTAGACAAGTACGTTGTTTTCCTTTATTTTGCGCCCCATAGCTTGAACCAAACACTACTTGTGTTGCACTACGTAACTTACACCACATAGATCGCACCACACGGATTGCAACACGTAGACTGCAGTACATGGTGCACACCCAATATTCACGCACACACACATATATAGATATACATATACATATTCATTCCTAGAAGAGTAATAGAATCTACCCCCTCCCGAGGCCGGGGTTAACGATCCCCCCTCGCGATCTGTCATGTGCATATGATTCCGACCATTCATCACTTTTGATACGAATTCATACCATTCCCAGTTGGTATCCCTCCCGCCATCCTCTGCAACAAGTACTATGTGTGCTTTCGTTTATCAGAAAATGCCAGATTTCAAGGGCCCCTTGCAATAAACATGACGAAGTGCACACGCGCGCGCCGTCGCGCGCGCATGCCGAAATCCTTAAAACTCGAGGCGTCATAAGGAATTTAAGCTCGAGTGTCACGAGCACATAAAAATATATTGTTTTGCAGCCAGATGTTTCTTTAAAAAACGTTTGCGCCTGCGCTCCTACTAATTCTTACGAAACCATAGTTTGTCCAACATTAGCATGATAAGGGAGAAAAAAAACCCAATCAGGGCTATAGGGCTAGGGGGCTATAGGGCTATTGAGCTAGAGGTCTATAGGGCTACAGGGCTATAGAGTTGTAGGGCTATAGGGCTATTGGGCTATGTGGCTATAGATCTATAGGGCTTAGGGCTATAGGGCGCCCCCGGGCACCCCCGGGCACCCCCGGGCACCCCTGGGCACGCCCGGGCACCCGGGCACCCGGGCACCCGGGCACCCGGGCGTGCAGCGAAAATCGGCGACAAACCTAACCTAATGATGCCGGAGAAAAACCCAATCAGGGTTATAGGGCTAGGGGGCTATAGGGCTATTGAGCTATAGGGCTATAGAGCTATAGGGTTTTAGAGTTGTAGGGCTATACGGCTATTGCGCTATTGGGCTGTAGGGCTTATAGAGCTATAGGCCTATAGGGCTATAGGGCTATAGGGCACCCCCGGGCACCCCCGGGCACCCGGGCACCCGGGCACCGCGGGCACGCCCGCGGGCACGCCCCGGGCACCCGGGCTGCGGGCACCCTGGCACCCGGGCACCCGGGCACCCGGGCACCCGGGCGTGCAGCGAAAATCGGCGACAAACCGAACCTAACCATATGAATCCGCTAGGACCCCCACAGAGGCAAGCTCTGCTTGGGGAACCGTACGAACCCGCTAGGACCCCTACAGAGGCAAGCTCTGATTGGGGAATGACATGCGTCCAAATTGGCCTTTCCCGCGCGCGTCGAAATCGTTCGAACGCCCTTGCGCGCGTGCTGTCGCAAGAGCCCCCGGCAACAAATGGGACGAAGTGCGCGCGCGTGCGCGCATGCCGAGCTCCTGGACAAACCTTCGGTTTCTTATGGATTTCAAAACCGAGCCCCCCGAAAACACATCAAAACACATGGTTTTGCAACACCATTTTTCAAACCATCCTTCGCTCGCGCTCATGCGCATTCTTAAGGAGACCATCGGTTTGTCCAACATTGTCGTCACATTCTGCCAAACGGGCCTCGCGCGCCGCATGTCGAACTCATTCGAACGCCCTTGCGCGCGTTCTGGGGGGGGCACAATCCGTGTCAAAAAACACAACGCGGACCAATCGCGCGCGTCGGCCGCGCGCGCATGTCGGAATCCTTCAAAAACCTCCATCGCCGACGCGAGGACATCGTCATCGTTATCGGCGGGCATGATCAACGCCGGCGCCGTCATTGGCCTTGCCGTCGTCATCGCCACTTCCGTCACCATCGCTACCCTCATAGTCGTATCTACCGATGTCGGCGTCCCCATGATACAGCGCTCCCCCAAGTCACCGACTTGCACTAAAGGGCCGGCTGGGAAGTGCCCGGCGGTCTGCGCCACCGCGGCCGTGTCGGTCGCGCCAAATTAGCTGGCCGCTGTGCGCGCAAGCGTGCGCGGGAGCGCGGCCGCAGAGATGCACCAGCCAACGCCAAGCACTCATCGCAATCGCCGCCGCAAGGGTGTTTCAAACCAAGTTGCGGGTGGGTGGGTGGGATGTTTGCAAGAGCGCTGAGTTTGCCAACTCGTTTGTAAAAACCAATTGCACCACGTAGATAGCACCACGCAGATTGCACCACATAGCTTGCACCACACAGCTTGCACCACAGATCGTACGCCATATGAAACTTGCACCACATAGCCAGCACTACGTAGACCGCAGCACATGCAGGCTAGAACCTTTTGTTTGGGGCCCACTCTGGCTAACATGTGTTCAATATGGATATACACAACAACAACAAATATGTCGACAACCACGCAGCTTGTGGCCGCCCGCGAGGCCCCCGCGATGCCGCCGCCGCCGCGCCGGGCCCCGCTCCCGGGGAGGCCGAGATCAGCCGCCTGCAGGCCTTGGTGCGGGAGGCGGCTGGCCTATCGGCGCCGCCGCCGCCGTCGTGCGTTCACGCTTTCGGGGGGGTGAACCCTGAGGTTTCCCAGAGGCACGTCAACACGGCTGCAGTCCCGTCGAAAGCCCGGCCAAAACGCGCCCTGAGGGTTGGAGTCTCAGGGACGAGCACCTCGAGCACCATCAGTCACGACGACAAAGGCGACGACGGTTTTGGCGATGGCGACGGCGACTGCGACGGCGACTGCGACGGCGACGGCGACGGCGACGGCGATGGCGACGGCGACAGCGACGGCGACGACGACGACGACGAAATGGAGGAGGACGACGACGACGAAATGGAGGAGGACGACGACGACGACGACGACGACGGCGGCGGCGGCGGCGACGACGACGACGACGACGACGACGGCGGCTTCCAGGTGGCCTGGGTGGCCCCGCGTCGTGCTGACCCCGCGCGCGGCTCCTCGCAGGGGCGCGTGGCAGGGCGAGGGCGGCGGAACGTGGGGCGGCGCAGGGAGGGGGGCCAGGGCGGGGCGCCTCGGCGGGGCGGCGCAGGGCGGGGGGGCGGCACAGGGCGGTGGGCAGGACGGCGGCGGCGGCGGCGGACGACGAGGGCCCCACCGTTGACACATCGGGCCCCGACCTCCAGCATCGTGGGTTCGGCCGCCCGCAGGCCCTGCTGCGGGAGGCGCTCATCGTCGCTCTGGAGCGGCTCGTTGCCGGCACGGCTGGGTTCCAGAGCCTGGCGAAAGCGCGCCCCGAGTCATGAAGCATGCTGCTACCTTTACAACCTGAATGACACCATGAATTCGAGACCTAACTTAGGCCTTCGGCGTTACGCGCGGATTTCTTGGATCCGCGCTGGGCCCCCCAGGCGGGCGCGCTCCGCGCGCCAGGGAGGGTAATCCAGCGCAGATCCAAGAAATCCGCGCGGAGCGCCAACAGTTCATGCTTGTGGCGCGTTCCCCCTCCCAAAGGAAATTAACGCAACTGGAGCTGATAGCACCCCAATTCTGCCAAGTCGGTTCGCGAATCGCCTCTTTGTAATTCCGGAGAGGGTGTCGCGGCCGCAGTTCTCGCGGCCTGCGCCCGCCAGGTTTTGGCCCCGCGTGGCTTTCGAAAGGGTGCTTTGTCCACGGGCCCTCCCGCTGCTCCGCTGCTTGTTGCGCACCGTCTTCGGTACCTGCGGCCACCTGCGCGCCCCTCCCCCGTTGGCTCTCGACGGTCGGGTCTCTTCCTGCCTCCTCCGGGTCCGCTCTCTGCGTTTCTGCTCGTCTCGTGCGCCCCGCGCCCCTGCGCGCCCCGCTGGCATCGACCCGCGCGCCTGCGACCGCTGGCGCTGGCATTTCAAGAGCGTTTTCTCGAAAGGGGGCCCAGCCAACCGGAATGTGTTTTTTGCTTCGACCCTTCGGGGCCAGGTTCCCGGCCTTCGGCGGCCAAGAGTCGGTTCGGGATGGGAAGCTGGTCTCGGGGAGGTGGTCGAGATCCCTGGGGGACCACGTCCCAAACAAAAATTCGTCGTCGGAAGTTTGAATTGCTTCCGTAGTCGACGTGGAGGGGGGCTGCTCGAGGTTTTCGGATACGTGTCGGGCCCTCTTTGGGGCCTCGTTGGGCTTGTGGGGGCCGTCATCGTCGCTGTTGTTGTCGCCGTCGCCGTCGCCGTCGCCGTCGCCGTCGCCGTCGCCGTCGCCGTCGCCGTCGCCGTCGCCGTCGCCGTCGCCGTCGCCGTCGCCGTCGCCGTCGCCGTCGCCGTCGCCGTCGTCGTCGTCGTCGTCGTCGTCGTCGTCGTCGTCGTCGTCGTCCTTGTCGTCCGTGTCGTCCTTGTCGTCGTATCTGGGCCGGTGCCTCGAGCTCCGCCCAGCCGCGGCGACGGGAGCCTCCCGGGAGGCGCCCCGGCAGACCCCCGAGGCGATCACGACGACGTCGTCGACGACGGCGACGGTGTCGTCGCCGCCGCCGCCGTCGGAGGCGGAGGCCGAGGTGGAGCTGAAGGACGAGCTGCTGCGGGCGTGCGCGCCGCTGGGGTGGCCCGGCCGCGAGGGCGTGGCGGCGCTGGAGGAGGAGGCCCCTCCGCAGCGACGGCCGGCGACTGGTGACGGACGGCAGGCGATGACGGCGATGGACGGCAAGGGCGGGCCATCGGTGACGGACGACGGATGCTTGGCGACGGACAACGACGACGACAGCGACGACTGGGGACCGACGGTGGGCGAACACGAGAGCGAAAACGGCGGCGCCGGCGGCGACTGGGACAAGAACGGCGACGACACCGACGGACGAGAAGGGGTTGTGAGGGGGGTCGGGAGGTGTTCCCATCAGCTCCGCCTCGTCGTCCTCCTGGGCAGCCTAGAGTCGTGTCTCCTGCTCGGTCCTCTTCCCGCCTGCTCGTCCTGCCTCCTGCTTCTCCTCCGTTCTCCTGTCTTCTCCCTCTCTCCTCCTCCTCCTCCTCTTCCTCCTCCTCCTCCTCCTCCTCCTCCTTTGGAGGCAGTTTGAGGACCGGTACGGCCACAAAATGCTCAGCCTTGATCCTCGACCAATCTCTCACTCGTGCTCTCCCTCCCTCCTTCCCACTCTCCTCCTCGTCCCTCCTCCCTCCCTCCTTACCTCCCTCCCTTCTCCTGCCACCTCCTCCTCCTACTCCTATTTCTCCCTCGCGCTCGCTCCTCCTCCTTCTCCTCCTCCTCCTCCTCCTCCTCCTTCTCCTCCCACTCTAGCCCTGCGCCAGGAGTTTTGACTTGTATATCGTGCCGTTCTTCGCAGAGACTCATATTCGTAAGTTGGCCGTCGTGCGTGATCCCTCCCAGACAAAACAGCCTCTTAGAAGCGGGAGTCTCGCGACAGACTCGTGCGTGGCCTTCGGCAGAACACCACTGGCCTTCGACAGAACACTACTGCCCGTCAGCAGGGCTGTGTCTGTATGTGTGCCTTTGTGTGTGTGTGTGTTCAGAATTTGTCTGTGTGTACATTGGTATGTGTGTATATGTGTGTGTTGGTTTGTGTGTCTGTGTGTGTCTGTGTGTGTGTCTGTCTGTCTGTCTGTCTGTCTGTCTGTCTGTCTGTCTGTCTGTCTGTCTGTCTGTCTGTCTGTCTGTCTGTCTGTCTGTCTGTCTGTCTGGGCCCCGAGTCCTGAATCCCAGACGTCCGACGACGTGATGCTTCAATCCCCGGGCCCCTCGTCCCGCATCCGCCTCTGCTGCCCCCGCTCCCAGCGAAGCTGGGGCGAGGCAAAGCGCCACCGGAGCCCGAGGCGAAGCGCGGGTCCGCGGGAGGCCCAGCTGCCCACTCGGGCGCGGGGCCTCGTGCGCCTCAGTGCGGCGCGGAGGGGTCGCGGGGTTCCCCGGCGGGAGGCCCAGGCATCGTCGTCGGGGCTCAGGAGGCGGGGGTCGCTGCAAACGGGGGTCAGTCAGAGCGCCGGATCTCGCAGGATCCTGCAGAGCCAGGGTTGCACTGATCCGGGCCTGGGTGCAGGATCCTGCAGGATCTTGCAGGACCCTGCAAGGCCTGACTGATCCGGGTTTTGATTGACCCGGGTCAGTAGTTCCCCGACGTCGGGTGTTTCTTTGAGCGCGCGGACCCGCAGAGGTCCCTACTCTTTCCCCAGGGGCGTATCTTCTTCACCAGTCCCACTTAGGATGGTCCCGAGGAATGGTGACGGCCCCCGAGGGCCAGGATCGAGGAGAAACGCCCGGAGGGGAAAAATGAGGATCGTCGGAGAGATCTCGGGGAGGATTCGAGGTTTGTGTCTTGAGACGGGTGCGGTTCCTGGGAAAGGAAGTGGAGGAAGAGGCGGGACCGTACGTGGACCAGAAGGCCGAGCCCTGCGGCGCAAGATGCCTTCTCCCTCCCCCCCAGACCCCCCCACATTAATATTCAGGCTGCGGCAGTGTTGGGGGGCTTGAGGCTTGAGGGGACAGAATCATCCCCAAATCATCACCCATTTTGAAAGCAACACTATTTCGGGGGCGGGGGGGGGCTGATCATAATCCTCCATTTGTAATTAAGGGTTTGAACATGCTGTCCAGCTTCTGGAAGGGAGAGGAGCTGGGAGGGAGAGGGGTCCGCCATTCCACAACGCCTCCCGTCCTGCATGCGCGCCACCGAGCCCGTGGAGCCGCACACTGTGCTGGCCCTTCCCTGGTGGACTCTGCCCTTCACTGCGAGAGCCTGCTCGAGTTGGGATGTGCGCATCGTCTTGAAAAACCACCCGAGCGACGCAACGCAACGGGGCCGTCTGCGCCGACATTGGCGCGCAAGCTGCCCGCGTCAGGTCGCGCGCGAGCACCGTCGTCTCCAATGCAGCGTGCCGCGCCGGCGGCCCGCGTGAGCCACCGCGTAAGGTCGCTGCGACGTCTCGCGTAAGACCCGTTTTTGATCCTCGCTCACCTGACTTGGTAGTTGCTTGCGTTCTTCGGCCTGCGCCGCGGTCACTTACGTTTCAGGTGCGTGCGCCGTGCAGCCTGCCTACTAGGAAGAGCATGCGCCCCGCGGGAGCGATCTGCCTCGTATGACGAATGAATGCGCCTGCTGGCCGGCTGCAGACGCAGAGCGTTCAGGCGAAGAGATGCTGATTCGGCCAGGGCAACTCGTAAAGCTCGGTTCGGCCAGTGCACGTAGTTGCAGGCAAGGTGTGACCTTCGGACTCCTCTTTCCTGCACGGTCAAAACGGGTTCGAAGATATTATCCACCTAGTGGAAGGGAGAGGGGCAGGGAAGAGGAGGGGAAGGAGGACCTTGGCGAGACCCTGACAGTGGGGGACCCTGGCGGGAGACCCTGCCTGCCTGAGAAGAGGGGGAGCGTTGGGCCGGACGAAAGGGCAGGATAGGGAAAGGGGGTTACGAACTCTGCTGCATGCAGCTGGTTTCCGCCCCGCCGCCTGGCCGTTTCTCGATACACGGGAGCCTCCCAGCGCCAGGAGGGTCCAAGAAAACCAGCTGCGCAAGCTGATTCTCTATCCAACCCTGTGCTATCCTGTCCTGTCCTACGTCATGATTTGTTCATGGCGTCGACCCCCAAGGAGGTCTGGGCCGACTCCCTGGGACCAGTGTTTCGCCCCGAGTCGTCTTTTGACGCTCCCGACCTCCACAGAGGCCGAACTTAGCGCAAAGCTTCCCGCCGTGTTTTTTGTTTTGTCATGGCGCGAGCATGTCTGGGGGGACCCTGACGGGAGACCCGGGGAGCCCAGCAGCACGGAGGCCGCGCTGATCGAGGAGGACGTCCGCCTCCTCCTCGCCGCGGCCGCGGCCGCGGCGGGGCCGCGCTCGGCCGGCGCCGGCGCCGGGGGCCTGGAGGACCCGATCGAGGCAGTTTTTTTTTTTTTTTTGTTCCAGTGGATTCTGGCAAGTTTACTTGCATGGAGATAAACAACAAAAAAAGTAAAACGTAAAAACAATACATACAGATCAAGGGGTTGGAGCCGCCTGGGGGTCCGATGTGGCCCAGCGCTGGTTCTGGCCAGCGGGAAGGGGGGGCAGATTCGAGGCGCTGGGTTTGAAAGGGTTTGTTTTTTGTTCGTTGCTCGTATGTTTCTGCTCTGGGGACGGGCAATCGTTACGTCTACATCCAGCGCGTCTTGGAGTGTTGGGCTCTCTCTTCCCCAGAAGCCGGAGGCGCACTGGATGTGGACAAAGATCTGGCCCCACAAGGCTAGATTTGTATCCATGTCCAGTGCGCCTCGGCCTTGCTACACCCCTTCCCAACAAGTCCAAGACGCTCTAGATATGGATAGAAGTATCGCCCGCACCGGGGGCCGTTTTCAAGCTCCAGGCCGTCCAAAACGGAGCCAGGGCGAAGAAAACAAACACCAGATGGATCCCGGGAGGGATCCACGGAACAATTTTTTGCTGAGCGGATTTGGTTTCATGCCCTTTCGTGGCCGATTTTCTTGGGTCCCGACTGCCCATGAGGCCTCCAGGGTGGGGAGGCGTTGCGTGGCCCGGAGGGAAGTCTGGACTCCGCGAAAGCTGGGATTGACTTGCACGCTTTTTCGGCCCAGCGCTGTTTGAAAAGGCGGCGGGGGGAGCTTCCATGCAAGGGATGAAACTTGCTTGAGTCTGGAGAAGAAATGAGCCTCATTCCCGGTGGGTGCCTGGGATGCACGGGCGGGTTCGCGGACCACCTCGCGCGTCGTGACAAGGTCGCGACATTGTTTTGTTATTCGTTTGTTGTTATTCTGCAAATTTGCGATGGTTGTAGCAGTGGTGGTAGTCGTAGTAGTAGTGGTAGTCGTGGTAGTATTATTATTATTATTAGTAGTAGTAGTAGTAGTAGTAGCAGCAGTAGTAGTAGTAGTAGTAGTAGCAGTAGTAGCAGCAGTAGTAGTAGTAGTAGTAGTAGTGGTAGTAGTAGTAGTAGTAGTAGTAGTAGTAGTAGTAGCAGTAGTAGTAGTAGTAGTAGCAGTAGTGGTGATTGTTGCAGTGGTTTATGTGTTGTTGTTGCTGTGCTGGTTGTTGTGGTTGTTGTGTTGGTTGATGTTGTTGTCGTTATTGGTGTTGTTGTTATTGTTGCTGTTGCTGCTGTTGTTGTTGTTGTGTTTTGAGTTTGCTTGTGGTAGCAGTCGTAGTAGTATTTGTTGCTGCTGCTTGTTGGTGTTATTGTTGTGGTTTGTGTTGTTGGTGTGTCTGATGTGTGTTGTTACTCTGTTGGTTGTTGGTAGTGTTGTTGTGGTTGTTGCTTGCTGTCGTTGTTGTTGTTGCTTGGTTTGATTTTGCTGGTGTCGTTGGTGTTGTCGTTGTTTTGGTTGTTGTTGCTGTTGCCGTTGTTTCTGTTTTGTTGTTGTTGTTGGTGTTGTTGTTGTTGTTGTTGTTGTTGTTGTTGTTGTTTGTGTTGGCTGTGCTAGTAGTAGTAGTAGTAGTAGTAGTAGTTGTAGCAGTAGTTTTAGTTGTTTCGCCAGTAGTAGTTGTTGGTGTTGTTCGTTGGTGTTGTTGGTGTTGTTGTTGTTGGTGTGTGGTGTTGCTGCAGTTGTTTGATTGGCTGTTGGGGTTCCTGCCGTTGTTGATGGTGTTGTTATTGTCATTGTTGTTGCTGTTGATTGGTGTTGCTGTTGGTAATGGTGGTGTTGTTAGTGTTGTTAGTGTTAATGTGGTTGTTTGTTGGCGCTAATTGTGCTGTAAGTGGTCGTCGTGTTAGTAGTGGTAGTAGTAGTAGTAGTAGTAGGAGGAGCTGTAGTAGTAGTAGTAGTAGTGGTAGTAGTAGTAGTAATAGTAGTAGTAGTGGTAGTATTAGTAGTAGTAGTAGTAGTCGTAGTAGTAGTCGTAGTAGTAGTAGTAGTAGTAGCAGCAGTAGTAGTAGTAGTAGTAGTAGCAGCAGCAGCAGCAGCAGTCAGAGTAGTAGTAGTAGCAGTAGTAGTAGTAGTAGTAGCAGTAGTAGTAGTAGTAGTAGTAGTAGTAGTAGTAGTAGTAGTAGTAGTAGTAGTAGTAGTAGTAGTAGTAGTAGTAGTAGTAGTAGTAGTAGTAGTAGTAGTAGTAGTAGTAGTAGTAGTAGTAGTAGTAGTAGTAGTAGTAGTAGTAGTAGTAGTAGTAGTAGTAGTAGTAGTAGTAGTAGTAGTTGGTGTTGTGTTAATTTTTGGTGTTGTTGTTGTCGTTGTATGTTGGTGGTACTGCTGTGTTTGTTGTTGTTGTCGTTGTTGTAAGTGTGCATTGTGGTTGTTGTTACCCTGCCTGCTGTTTGCATTGACATTGTTTTTGTTGATGGTGTTACAATTGGTGTGTTTGGTTGTTTGTTGCTGTTGTTGTTGGTTGGTGTTGTTGGTTGTTGTTGTGTTGGTTGTTGTGGTGTGTTGCTGATGCTGTTACGTTGTTATGTGTTGTTGTTGTGTTAGTAGTTGATGTCGCTGTTGCTGTTGTACATCGTTTTTGTTGTTACGTTGTTGGTTGTTGTTGTGATTGGTTGTTGTTGCCGCTGCTGTTGTTGTGGTTGTTGCTTGTTATTGTTATTGTTGCTGTTGATGTTGTGTTTATTGTTGTCGTCATCGTCGTCGCCGTCGTCGTGTCGTCGTAGTCGATGCTGTTGTTTGTGTCGTTTAGGTTTTTGCAATTTTCGGCCTGTGGGGGCCCTCGCCGGGCCCCAGGGACCGTCCGAAAGGACTCGGGATGAGAAGCCCGTCCTGGGGAATTTTGGTTGAGACCTCCTTGGAGGTCCACGCTGAGAAGAGATCACGACGTCGGAGGTCTGTGTCGCAAGGAGTGAGAATCTCTAGGCCTCCTAGACGGACTCGGTGTAGATAGGATCGGAGGAAAGCGCCGCATCGCCAATGCATCGCCGATGCGGCTCGGTGTGGAGCCCGATTTGCTTCACGTCGACGCCGCCGATGCATCGCCCGCGTCGACGATGAATCGCTGGTGCATCGCCGATGCATCGCCGATGCATCGCCGATGCATCGCCGATTTACCGGCGATGCTGCGCGATCCGCCGACCCCATCTCCTCCGACCCCATCAAGGGGGCCTCTAGAATCAGGGGCAACCTTCCTGGAGGATAGGCTCAGGGGGAGACGCCCTCCCTATCGTTCCTCCTCAGGTGGTCGTGAGGAGGGAAACAGAAATGAAACGCGAGGGTCCTGGGCCTCTGGCGGACTGATTACGTTAGTCGCGGCGTTTTGGGCTACTTTTGGCCCGTCATCGTACGGGCCGGAGTTCTGTTCACGCTCCTTGCTTTTTGCTGGGCGTCCTGGGGCATCCTCGCCGGCACGGCCGGATTCCCTCACTGGACACGCTCTTGTCAAAGACCGACTCTTGGAGGGCGAGTCGAGGCTGACTGGGGCGCCCCGGGACACGGGTCGGAGGAAGGAGAAGCGAACCGACACCGTCACCAGGATCGGATCGGCGGCGAGCGCGGGGGGAAGTGAGAAGGGGCGGGCCTGCTCAGAAGGCTCGGAAGTCCCCCAGCCTTCTGACAAGTTTTCTGAGCTTCTGAGCCTTCCCTGACGACACAGGAAACTTCTCAGAAGGCCGGAGGGCTTCTGCGAAGTCCCGCCGCCTCCTGATAATGCCTTCCCCTTCTCATTTCTCCCCTCTCGCTCGCCGCCGACAGGAGGCTTCTTCCTCTCGGCGATGGCGGGCGTTATAGCGGGGGAGGGGAGGAGCCTGGTATCGTCACGGTATCCGCCAGTGCCGCCTGGGAGTGAGCTCCCTTATACGCAGTGGTTTTCCAGACGGCGCCGGCGCGAAGCGAGCCGTGACGTTACCAGGAGGCCCTGAGTTTCCAGGAGTGCAGAAGTAGCACAATGGTTTCTGAGATTAAGTGGTAGCCGAGTTGTTTAGAAGGCCTGACAGGTCGATAAGTTTGGAGGGCCATTGTGTAGCACTCTGGATGGTCAGGGTTGGGGCATCCCAGTATTGGGCGTCATCGCGAGTAGTGTAACACCGAGCCCCAGCAGGCCTGCTCTAGCGAGAAGGTTCACACCTGTTCCCCGACCTGGAGGCTGGAGATCTCTCGAACGGGACCCCCTCGAACGGGCGCACCGCACCGCCATGAGGACCCTCCCTGGCTCCTCGCGAGGGTGGTGGCGTCTCCTCATGGGGGGGACCAGGGCCTCTCGAGGGTTTTCGTCATGGTTGGGTTCGGGGGACGCTTTTAGGAAGCAGGATCGGTCGCGTTGTGCCTAGACCGCTGCCTTGTGCCTGGACCCTGATTTCGTTCCGGCTCCGTCCCCCGCCCCTCCTCCCCCTGATCATGTGCCACGCGCTTGGCGATCACGATGTTGTGTTGTCTTTCGTACTCAGCACCTGCCCTTCCTGCCTAATTGAGTCAAGCCCGCCGTCCGCCGCTGTGTCGGTTCTCGTCCCCACCGCCTCCTGGCGGGCAGCCCGCGCCACTAGGAGTTCCGTGGCACAGGCACCCCGCCGTTGCAGAGCTGTGCTCGCGCCCTCCAGACGATTCGTGAGCCGGCTGCGCAGCATAGCAAATCCCACAGCGTTCCTTGGAGCGCTCTGGAGACCGGAACGGCTGTGGCGCCCGACACGTTGCTCCGGACCCGCAAGCTCTCAGCGATCCCCGATTTGTATCGGCCGGCAGCCGATGCTGCTCCCATGCTGCCGCGGTCTCTGGTGACATGAAGAGGGGAGAAGGAGGAGCAGGAGGAGGACAAGAGGAAGGACGAGGAGGCGGAGGAGGCGCAGGAGGAGGAGGAGGAGGAGGAGGAGAAGCATGAGGAGGGGGGAGGAGGCGGAGGAGGTGGATTCTCAAGGATTCTAAACATGGCCACGGCGCGGCGTCCAACCACGGGAGGGCCCGAAGCACACGTGCCTTCGGGTGCACCTATTCTGACCTCGGCACCCCGTCATGGCCGCACCCTAAGACCTTGCCCCAGAACGCGCGCTACACTACCGCACTCGGGCCGTCTTCTCGACGGGCGTGCCCACATACACAAAACGAGCAGGAAGAGGTGGAAGAGGAGGAGGAGGAGGACGAGGATGAGGAGGAGGCGACGGAGGAGGAGGAGGAGGAGGAAGAGGAGGAGGCGGAGGCGGGGGAGGAGGAGGAGCAGGAGAAGACGAAAAAGGGGTTGGAGGAGGGGGAGGATGAGGAGGAGGAGGAGGAGGAGGAGGAGGAGGAGAAGGAGGAGAAGGAAGATGAGGAGGCGGAGGAGTCACGACCGACGAACATTCCATGCCCTCGCGGGCCAGATGCCGAGGCGGAGCGCATGGATACGCAATCCCAGGAACACGTTCCGCGCGAGGCACCCGCGCAGAGCTATCCCGTATCCCGGTGGGTCGCGGCCGAGGGGCTTGGACCGCGAGGTCGTGGATATGGACGCGTGTGCCGCCCGCCTCCGACGGAGCAATGCTTCTGCGACGCGGGCCCCCGGGGATCTCGAGCTCTTCCCAGGGACTGGGTCTTTGTCTCGAGTCGTTTCTCTGACGACCCATAGGGCCGGCAGACAGACCCTGGAGGCCGAGAGCGTGCAGCAGTCGGCCGTCACACGGTTTTGTTGAGCGGCGGAGGGAGGGAGGAGGGGGGGAGGAGGGGGAGGAGGGGGAGGAGGGGGAGGGCCAACCTTTCACCGCCCACCAAACCACCCCAACCCAACCCGAAGGCCCCGATTTGCCCTCCATTGCTAGTGGGGGTAGTCGGGGAACATAGAGAAAACAAAAGAAACCCGTACCCCCCCAACCCGAACTTCGGATCTTCGGGTTGGGTTGGGGTGGTCTGGTAGGTGGCCAATTTTTTGGGGGGACTGGCTCAGGGGGGGAACTTCGAGCTGGAATCGGCAACACATCGCCGATAGATCGGAAATATGCCTTGCACGTTCCGCACGTTCGTGGGAGGGGGGGATCCACCCATGTGAGCGGACAAGGTGAGCTGGCCCGCAGGAGCTTCGCCGTGCACCCGCAGCTAAAGCTGAAGCCCAGGCTGAAGTGCACAGCAGAATGGAAAGGTCCCACCCTCGTAGGAGGACGCGGGAGGAGGGCGGGAGGAGGGCGGTGGTGGTGAATGCTGGCATGAACGTCAAGTTGTGCTCTTGCGCTCTAGGACGGGAAAACAACCGAAGGAAATCAACAGAGGCCTTGGAGGTTCCCGAAGAGACGAATTCAACCATCAGGCCACATAATCGTTGTCAAATTCCAAGCGGCAATGGCGGGAGGAGGATGCAGGGGGCGCGAAAACGCGAGTGCCGCCGCGCGCTCCCGCACCGACCCCGACAAGCAAGGGGCGGGGGAGATGAGAGGAGGGGAGGAGAAGGAGGGGAGGAGGAGAAGGAGGAGGAGGAGGAGGAGGAGGAGGAGGAGGAGGAAAGTAGCCTCCCCTGGGGAGGAGGAGGGCGAGGAGGAGGGCGAGGAGGAGGGAGGGATGGGGGCCTCGCCGTCCGGCCCGGGGGCTCTCGGGCCCTCTCGGCCGCGCCGGCGATGCTTTTTTGGACCCCTCCACCCGCTTGGCCCGTGGCGGGGGCGGGCGGAGGCGCGGGCGAGATCGCGCGGCCGGGTGATCGAAAGAGGAAGAAGAAGAAAAACAATAATAAGAATAAGAAAAATAAGAAGAATAAGAATAATAATAATAAGAGGAAGAAGACAAAACATAATAAACATCAACTTTGGGCGCTCCGCGCAGATTTCTTGGATCCGCGCTGGGCCCCCCCGGCGGCGCCTCCGGCGCCGCCCCTGGCGCGCTCCGCGCGGTAGGGAGGGGGGTCCAGGGCAGATCCAAGAAATCCGCGGTGAGCGCCAAAAGTTTCTGTCTATGCCGTTTTGCTCCCTCCTTAAAAGAGGAAGGATGGCGGGAGAGACCCAGACCCCCGACATCATGATTTTTGCATAACGTCGTTTCCGAAGAGCTCGATCCCGTCCACGGGAGCAGTTTTTCACTCCCGCGGCCCCGAGACCCAGCAAGGGCCCCCAGAGGCTCAGAACAGCGAGAAACCTCCCCGCCGTAGTGATTTGTCGTTGTTTTTTTTTTGTCGCGAGGGGGTCTGCGGAGACGAGGAGGATTGCGCCGGTGCGGGCCGAGGAGGATCGGCGTCACCCCAACATACTTATACTATATGTGCGTCGCCCCCTCAGGGGCGACGCGCGCACCGAGAAACCTCAGAGTATATGCGTCTGGGCGGGTGCTTTCTGGCCACCCCGCTCGGGAAACTATCTGCTGCAAGATGAATGTACTATATGTTCGGGTCGGACGCGCGCCTCCGAGGAGGACATTTAGTGTTAGTATGTCTCTGTACGGGCCGAGGAGGAGGCGCTGGAGCCCGGCGCCGTGGCCAGCACTGCCAGCAGCGTGTCGACGGGCCCCTCGGGAGCGGGCCCCGGCACGGAGGCCTCCCTGCGCCGCCAGCTCAGCGTCCGTCGACGGGTGGCGGTTGGGATAGACGAGCGCGTTCCACTACTCGCAACAGTAACTGCTCGCAAATGGCCTGGATCTCCCCCCCGGAGGATCTGCGATAAATTTCACCAAAGCGGACATGTGCTTTTCGGACGTTTGCGAGTAGGCACTTTGCGAGTAGTGGAACGCGCTCGGTGATGGGAGGCCAGGGGTGACTCGCCGAGCGCGTTCCACTACTTTAAAGACGGGCACGTCCCTCTACAGGAGGAGTATTCAAGAATAGTCGAATATTGTCAGGGGGCGACTTTCTATGGTTCTTTATTTTTTGTCTATGTTTGTGTGTGTGTGGATATTTTTTTGATTTTCTTCCTGTAGGGGGACATGTCCGACCTAACACTACTTGCAAAGTGACTACTCGCAAACGTCCGAAACAAGCAAACATGTCTTCCACTATATAGTGTATCGTACTGCTCCGCGGCGGTTCCAGGCCGTTGGCGAATAGTTATTTTGCGCGTAGTCGAACGCGCTCGTCCAGTAACGAGAGATGGAGGGTTCTTCAGGGGCAGTGCACCCAGACCCCCTCGGGTCTTGACAACCATCACGACGGCAAGCTTTTTGCAGGTTTTCGGCCTCTGGGGGCCCTCGCCAAGCCCCAGGACCGTCAAACAACTACTCAGGATGAAAAGACGCCCCCGGGGAATGGGATGACACTTCGGGAGGCCCACGTCATGAAACCATCATTAAGTCGGGCCTGTCCGTCTACAGGGGGAAGATTCAAAAATAGTGAAGCATTAGTCTGGGTATTTCTGTTTTTTGTCCAAAATCCCCCTGTATGGGGGACAGGCCCGCCCTAGAACCATCATCACGTCGGGGGTCTGGGCAGGGGGGGGGGGGGCGATGCGCTTCGAGGTTCGAGGAATTCAGACGTCTTCGCTCGTTCTCGGCCGTCTCCCAGCCCTGGGCTGCTCTCCGGCAGCTGCGCCTCGCCGAGAGGCGTCTGGGTGCGCCGGGACCGCCCCGAACGGTTGCCAGAGACCCGAGTTGTGACCCGAAGTCCAGACATCGAGCACCGCTGGGGGGCATCGGCTCTGGGGGGAAAGCATCGGCCCCCAGTCGCCCGTCCTCACGATCGGCGAACACATCCGTATCCGCGCCCTCGCGGTCTGGATGCTAGGGCGCGGTTCCGTGGATACGCTGTCGCACAGATACGTCCCGCGCGGGGCATCCGAAACAGAAGCGTTCCGCATCCGCGGGGCCGCGGTTCAGGGGCCTGGCCCGCGAGGCCGCGAATACCGACATGTTTTGCCGCCCACGACATCCGTCGCCGATCGGGGCATGACACCCCTCTACCCCTCCCAGGACCGCTCGGTTCCGATATCGGTGGGCCATCTTGGGCTATACTAGTCTCATCTTGCCTGTCTTGCAAACCGTCTTTGAGGCTGTCTTGGCCGTCTGGGGGCCGATGCACCGCTGGATGGCAAATTCGAGGGAGGCGATCTCAGAGACACCCGTTCCGTCCAGGGGGGAGTGGTCGGCCCTTCCAAAATTAGCCTGACAAAGGACCCAACCATCTGCAGCTGCGAGTATCTGGGGCGCATGTGGACACACCCCCTGCGGCCTTCGGTGGAGCTCCCGATGGGGCCACGGACCGTGTGAGGGGTGTGCCGGAATGGGTGGCGGGACGCGTGTGGCCACACCATCTGGGGCATTCGGTCCTTATGCGGCCACGAAGCGTGTGGGGTGGTGCCGAAATGGGCGGCGGGGGCGCATGTAAACTGTGCCACTGGGGCCTTCGGTGGACGAGCCTTGTGATGGGTGTGCCGACGTTGGGTGGCGGGGACGCATGTAAACTGTGCCACTGGGACCTTCGGTGGAGCTCCCTATGGGGCCACGAACCGTGTGATGGGTGTGCCGACGTTGGGTGGCGGGGGCGCATGTAAACTGTACCACTGGGGCCTTCGGTGGAGCTCCCCATGGGGCCACGCGCCGTGTGAGGGGTGCGCCGGAAAGGGTGGCGGGGACGCATGTCAACTGTACCACTGGGGCCTTCGGTGGAGCTCCCTAGGGTTCCACAAAGCATGTGGGGGCTGTCCCGAAATGGGTGGCGGGGACCTATGTACACTGCCATTGGGGCCTTCGGTGGAGCTCCCTGTGGGGCCACGAATCACGTGATGGGTGTGCCGACATGGGTGGCGGGGACGCATGTAAACTGTACCACTGGGGCCTTCGGTGGAGCTGCCTATGGGGCCACGAGCCATGTGAGGGGTGTGCCGAAATATTTTGCGGGGACGCATGTGAACTGTGCCACTGGGACCTTCGGTGGAACTCCCTATGGGGCCACGTACCGTGTGGGGGGTGTGCCGAAATGGGCGGCGGGGACGCATGTAAACTGTGCCACTGGGGCCTTCGGTGGAGCTGCCTATGGGGCCACGAACCGTGCGAGGGTGTGCCGAAACGGGTTGCGGGGACGCATGTAAACTGTGCCACTGGGACCTTCGGTGGAGCTCCCTATGGGGCCGCGAACCTTGTGATGGGTGTGCCGACGTTGGGTGGCGGGGACGCATGTAAACTGTGCCACTGGGGCCTTCGGTGGAGCTCCCCATGGGGCCACGCGCCGTGTGAGGGGTGCGCCGGAAAGGGTGGCGGGGACGCATGTCAACTGTACCACTGGGGCCTTCCGCGAAGCTCCCTAATGGGGCCACGAAAAGTGCGAGGGGTGTGCCGCATGTGTGGCGGGGACGCATGCAAACTGTGCCACTGGGGCTTTCGGTGGAGCTCCCTGTGGGGCCGCAAATCTTGTGATGGGTGTGCCGACATTGGGCGGCGGGGGCGCATGTAAATTGTGCCAGGGGGTCCCTATGGGGCCACGAGCCGTGTGAGGGGTGTGCCGAAATGGGCGGCGGGGGCGCATGTAAACTGTAGCACTGGGGCCTCGGTGGCGCTGCCTATGGGGCCACGAGTCGCGTGAGGGGTGTGCCGACATGGGTGGCGGTGACGCATGTAAACTGTACCACTGGGACCTTCGGTGGAGCTCCCTTTGGTACCACGAAACAATGGTGATGATGGGGATGAGGAGTGAGGATGGAGGGAGGGGGAGGAGGGGGAGGAGGAGGGATGATGGGGAGGAAGGCGGCGGCGGGAGGAGAACGCGGGGCGCTGTCTCTGACTGGGACAAAACCTCCCAGACAGCAGACGATCATTCTAATACGTCCCAGCGGGCACAAGGTCTGGTGGCGGACGTGTGCAGGACTGCTGCTACCCCCGCCTGTCTCCCAGGATGCCACCAGAGGTCTCCGTATGGATCCACAGGGATCCAGAGAGGGAGGGGGAGAGGGGAGAGGGTAAGCGGAAGCGGAAGAGGATTCTGAACATGTTGATGCGGTTGTTGGTGATGATGCAGATGATGCTGATGATGATGACGATACTGACGATGATGATGCTGCTGGTACTGCGAAGGTTGATGATGGTGCTGACGATGATGCTGATGATAGGGACGCTGATGCTGATGATGCTGCTGATACTGATGATGAATATGAGGAGGATGAGGTTGTTGATGATGCTGGTGATGATGATGCTGATGATGCTGATGTTGAAGCTGCTGCTGATGATCCTGATGATGACGACGATGCTGATGATGCTGATGCTGACGATGCTGACGATGCTGACGATGGTGCTGCTGATGCTGCTGCTGCTGATGCTGATGCTGCTGCTGATGATGGTAATGATGCTGATACTTGTGATGCTGGTAATGATTCTGCTGATGATGACGAGGAGGAGGAGGAGGATGAAGAGGAGGCGGAAGAGGAGGAGGCGGAGGAGGAGAAGGAGGAGGAGGAGGAGGAGGGGGAGATGGCCTGTCGAGGGGGTGGATGTGATTTGGTCCCGAACACTGTGCAGCTGTACGGGGGCAGGTACACTGATCCCTCTATTGTTGCCAATCGGTGTCTCAGGAGGGGGAGGAGGAATCCGAGTAGAAAGCGAGCGATGCCGAGGATGAGGAGGCGGAAGGAAGTACTCGGGAGGAGGAGGAGGCGGAGGCGGATGGGGAGGAGGCGAGGAGGAGGATGAGGAGGAGGAGGAGGTGGAGGAGGAGGAGGATGATGATGAGGAGGAGGTTGAGGTGGAAGAAGAGGGGAAGGAGGATGAGGAGGAGGCGGAGGAGGAAAATGATGAGGAGACGGAGGAGGATGCGGAGGATGATGATGATGAGGAGGAGGAGGAGACGGGCGAGGAGGAGGAGGATGACGACACACGAAGTAGTAGGAGGGATGATGATGATGATGATGATGATGATGATGATGACGATGATGCTGATGATGATGATGATGATGATGATGATGATGATGATGGTGCTGATGATGATGATGATGATGATGATGATAATGCTGATGATGCTGATGCTGCTGATGCTGCTGATGATGATGAGGAGGAGGAGGAGGAGGACGTCATGCAAAACCAGTGATGCTACCATCAATAATACTAAGTAGTAGTTTTACTGCTGAGAATCATGCGAATACTATTACGGATGCTACTCACAATTCGATTGCTACTACCATTTTGAACACTAACGTCATAGTCGTAACACATATCAGATTCGCAATAACAATGAGTGTACCCGCGTAACTTAATTTATGCTAGTGGCGCCATCACCACCCATATCACGTTTCACAGTATTGGTGCTTCGAGCCGTCACAAACAACATTGCGACTACGACTACGCATACCAGTTGAATTACTATTGCTACCGCTCACATTGTACTATTTTGAACACAGTCAGAGGAAGATGAACCACCTAGTCGGAGGGAGGATGAGGAGGCGGAGGAGGAGGAGGAGGAGCAGGAGGAGGAGGAGGAGGAGGACGGGTGAATGCGAGGAGGACGGGTGAATGAGAGGAGGACGCACTACACAGGAATCAGTAGGATGGGGGAATATGATGAGGCGGATGAGAAGTAGGATGAGGAGATGGTGGAGGCGGAGGATGCGTACCATGGAACTAGTTGGAGGGAGGAGGACGAGGAGAAGGAGGAGGAGGAGAACTGATACGGAAGTCCTAGTAGGAGGGGTGGGGGGGAGGAGGAGAAGGATGAGGCGGCATACGGACATAGTAGGAGGGAGGAGGAAGAGGAGGTGGATGATACCGATAACGGAACTAGTTGGACGGAGGAGGAGGAGGACGACGATGATGAGAATGTTGATGGTGCTGATGCTGCTGATGATGGTGATGCTGATGCTGATGCTGATGCTCATGCTGATTACGATGATGATGCTGATGATGATGCTGATGATGCTGATGATGATGGTGATGCTGATGATGCTGATGCTGCTGATGATGATGCTGATGATTATGATGATGCTGATGATGATGATGCTGATGCTGGTGATGATGATGATGAGGAGGAGGAAGCGGAGAACCAGGAGAGAAACGAAGGCGCAACACGTAGTAGGAGGGAGGAGGAAGAGGAGTAGGAGGAGGGGGAGGAGGAGAAGGACGAGGAGGAGGATGATGCTGCTGATGATGATGATGTTGAGGAGGAGGAGGAGGAGGAGGAGGAGGAGGAGGAGGAGGAGGAGAAGAAGGAATAATACGAAGAAGACGAAGACCACGCAGACGAGTCAAACGAACACGACGGAAGTAGTAGGAGGGAGTAGGGGAGGAGGAGGGGGAGGAGGGGGAGGAGGAGGAGCAGGAGGATGAAGACACAGGATCTAGTAGGATGGAGGAAGAGGAGGAGGCGGAGGAGGAACAGGAGGATCAGATGGTGGAGGAGGAGGAGGCGGAGGAGGAGGAAGAACAAGACAGAAACAGTTGGAGGGGGAAGGAGGAGGAGGAGGTGGAGGAGGAGGAGGAGGATGATGATGATGCTGATGATGATGATGATGATGATGCTCTGATGATGATGATGATGATGATGATGATGATGATGATGATGATGATGAGGAGGAGGAGGAGGAGGAGGAGGAGGAGGAGGAGGAGGAGGAACACGGGAGTCCTAGGAAGGAGGATGAGGAGGAGGAGGTGGAGGGAGAAAGATAACGAAAATAGTAGGAGGGAGGAGCAGGATGAGGAGGACGAAGAGGAGGAGGCGGAGGAGGAGGCGGAACAACAAGGATGTAGAGGAGGGGTAAGATGGATGAGGACGAGGAAAAGGAGGAGGAGGAGGAGAAGGAGGAGGAGGAGAAGGAGGAGGAGGAGGAGAAGGGGGAGGAGGAATACAGTGAACAGGAAGTAGGAAGAGTGATGATTTTGTGTTTGCTATTGTCGTTGTTGTTGATGATGATGATTGCGATGATGGTGATGATGATGCTGCTGATGATGATGATGTTGCTGATGCTGATGCTGATGCTGATGCTGATGCTGATGCTGATGCTGATGCTGATGCTGATGTTGATGCTGATGATGCTGATGATGCTGATGATGCTGATGCTGCTGATGATGAGGAGGCGGAATGATACGAAGGATGTAGTCGGATGGAAGAGGAGGAGGAGGAAGAGGAAGAAGAAGACGAAACAGATGAAGACGAAGGACGTAAGAGCGAGGAGGAGGGGAGGAGGAGGAGGAGGAGGAGGAGGAGGAGGAGGAGGAGGATCAGGATCAGGATCAGGATCAGGTTCAGGAGGAGCGCGAGCCCGCGACCCGCCCCGTGGCTGCTCCGCCGGGCGCCGAGGCCCGCGGCCGGCGCCGCTGGAGGTCCAGCTGCAGGAGAAGGCCGAGCTCGTCTCGCGCCTTCGGCAGAGGCGGGGGCCCCCCGGGATGCCCAGGTGCCCAGTGTGAAGAGTGCACTCCCCTGCCCCTCTGCCGCTCGTGCCGCCTTGTGAGCATGATGCATATACTTTTCATGTTTTGTGGCGTGCGCGTTGCCCGCCGCCGTTTTGGCCCTAGTCCTAGGGCCCTGGGACTGCACCCGCAGTTTCACCGCCGCGCGGTCCGAGCTAAAAGAACTGCACTGACACCCAGGTGCCCGGACGGGTGGTCGTCGTTGTCGTCGTGGCGGCCCCCATCCTGCTGGAGTCCTGCAGCAGCCAGAGGCGGTGATTGGTCAGGGCACCCCGCCCCTCTTCGCCGAGAAGGTGGGTCACCGAACTCGTGCCTGCAGTTGGGAGCGAACACGTCGCGTGACCGAACTCGTGACTGGAGTCTCAAAACGTCCTGGTTCCGAACCGAACATGTCGGTCACACTCGGGCAGATTTTCGGGCACAGTTTCGGTCACGACGCATCCCTGATCGAGGCCAGGCTACGTGAGATTTATTCACAGCCACCGCCTGGTGCCTGGGAGAACCGATCTTTGTGGACCTTGGCAGGCGGTGGGCGTTGATATAGTTGCCCCCCCCTCCTTTCGGGCCCGACGGGTATGGACTCACCCCCTCCCTGTCCCAAGGTGGGGATGGAGAACGGGCCCAGCCATCTGCTAGCGTTGAACGCGTTTCTTTCTTCCAAGGGCCGTCGGGAGCGACTTTCCCTCCAACCCCACCTTTGCCTCTACAGTCGACCCGTATGGTAAGGATGGGCAACCTTCCCAAGGGTACCCTTGCATCCTTGCCTCCTCGGCCCATCCTTGGTGACTTTCGCTGGCCAAGCTCGTTCGAAACACGTTCACGTGGCCTTCCAAGGCCCTTGCATCCTTCCCGCCCATCCTTCTGACACGGGCTGACTGGGCCCCCACCTCTGCACCCCCCCCGGCCCCACCTTTGCGCCCACCCCTGCCCCGACCTTCCCCTCCAGCCCCACCTCTGCCCCCACCTCTGAAAGAGCGCGTTCTGTGGTCGCTTGGGGAGGGGGGGGGGGGTTGGAACCGGACCTCCCCCCCCTGGATGGAGGGAGGGGATGGGAGGGGGAGGGTGGGGGTTCGACCCCCCCCCCCCACCCTCCACCTCTGCGCCCCCCGCCCCCCCGCCGCGCAAGCAGTGCCCGAGGGGTGCCCTCGGGCCGCGGCTCTGCCGCTGCGCTCTGGCGGCCTGCCGAGCGCGGGGGGGAGGCCACGGGCCTCTACAGGCTGAGGCCGCGGCGCGCGGCTTTCCGCGGAGGGCGCGCTCGACATCACTTAGCTTAAGTCGGGCGTGTCCCTCTACGCGAGGAATCTGTAGAAACAGTTAGAACATAGTCTGGGGCATTTTTTTGTCCGACGATTTTTGCATATATTTGTTTATCTATACACATCTTCCACTTCGAATGTTCTTATAGCGGAAAACCCGGGGTGACCCCCCCCGCCCCCTTAGATAAATTCGGCCCTGGGCGCTTCCATTGGGAAGACATTTCGATTTTCGGTTCCGGGAGCCCCTTCAGGCCATCCCAAGCCGCCAAAGCGGGGCCATGATCGCTTCCCAGACGGTCCCGCGGAGCATCGACACAGCCCAAGACCGCTCAAGAACGCCCATGCTGGTTTCAGGATGGCCCCCAAGGCCTCCAAGACGCCTCACGAGAGCCCGAAGATGGCCCCCAAGAGGGCCCCAGACGCCCAAATTCACTGATTTTCCATAGGTTTTCGATCGATTTAGTGTTCTCGTTTTGTCGAGCTTCCGACCGCGCAAGACGGCCCAAGATTCCCCAAAGATCGCCCGAAGACGGCCCACGTGGGTCTCAAGAGGGCCCCAAGACTGCCCAAGAGGCCCCCAAAACGGCCGAAGAGGGCTCCAAGACAACCCGAGAAGTCCCGCAACACGGCCCAAGAGGGCCCCAAGAAGGACAACCCGAATTGACATGTTAAGTTTTTCCCCCAAACATGACCCCGCAGACCGCCGAGGGCCCCCCAAAACGCCCCCAGAAGCCCACAAGAGGCCACCACGAGGGCCCCAAAGCCCCCAAGGCGTCTTGAAAAGGCGCCCCAGGGAAGCCCCAGAAATGCTTCCATGATCTGATCTCGGGGGCCCCCAAGAGACCCCAATAAGTCTCCCATGGAGGCCTCTGCAAGTCCCTCATTCTACAGGTTGCAAATGTCTTGCAGGTTTCAGAGGCCCCACAGGTCCGGCAGGTCCCACATGTACAACAGGTCCCACAGGGCAGGTCCCCCAGGTCCCACAGGTCCAGTCCCACATGTTCCACCGGTCCCACAGGTCCAACAGGTCCCACAGGTCTCAGAGGTCCCACAGGCCCGACAGGTGTTCAAGGTCTCGCAGGTTCGTAAGTCCTACAGGTCCCACAGGTCCCACGGGTCTCAGAGGTCTCACAGGTCTCGCAGATCTCGCAGGTCCTACAGGCCCCACTGGTCCCACAGGCCCCATGGGTCAAATAGGTTTACAGGTCTTGCAGGACCCACAAATGCCACAGGTCTCTCAAGTCCCACAAGTCGCACAGGTCCCACAAGTGTCGAACGTGTCGCGGGCTCCACAGTCACAACAGGTCCCATGGGTCCCACAGGTCCCGCACGTTCCACAGGTCCTAAAAGTATCGCAGGTATCGCAGGTACCACAAGTATCGCAAGTCCCACTGATGCCACAAGTCCTACTACAGGTGCCGAAGGTCCCGCAATTCCCACAGGTGTCGTACGTCCCATGGGTCCCACAGGTGCCGCAGGTCCGGTAAACCCGCAGGTCCCACAGGTACACCAGGTCCCATGGGTCACGTTTGCTGGTACACCAGGTTCAACAGGTACACCAGGCCCCATAGGTACACCAGCTCGAGCCCCAGCCTCATGAAACATGAACCCCAGGAAGCTCTTCGCTCCTGTTGAAGCCGATGAGCCCCGATGTCATTCAAACTCCATGAGACGTATGACCATATGACCCTCATGAGCAATACAAGCTTCATGCGCCCAAGAGCCTTCGGGAGACCTTCCAGACCCGTGGCGCCAGCCACCTCCAAGAGCTCTGGGACCACGCCGCCCCACTCCCCCATTCCCAATTGACGGCGATGGCGGTCGCACCGCACCTCGCTGGCGCCATGCGACCAAGATTGTAACGGCGAAGCGTCGCGAGCCGGTGAAATCTTGTGTGCGTGTGTGTGCATACACACATATATATATACACATGTATGCACATATATATGTACATATATACACATATATGTACATATTTTTATATACACATCTGTATGAAATCCTTCAACATCCGCCTGTAGGAGGACATGCCCGACCTACCACTTGGTATCGCTCGGGACCATCCTGCATCATCTGGCAAACAACCGAGGCTGCGGCGCGCGGCTTCTCGCGAAGTGCGCGCTCGATGTCGCTTGGCATGGCTCGGACCTGGGCATTCCGTCTCGGCGAGGACCCTCGAGGAGCCTCTTGGATCATCGGGCAGCAAGAAGCACGCACGACGCCGAAAAAGGCTCGGGGATCGGACGTCCTCTCGGCGAGGACCGTCGAGGAGCACCCTGGATCAAAAGAGCACGCACGACACCGAAAGAGGCACGGGGAACCGACGCCCGAGCGATGGCAAGTGTCAGTGAGGGCCGAGGAGGGTGGCGCCACGTGGCACGAGGACCACACCACGCCTCGCCACCTCCCTGCATAGGGATGGCGGGGAGGGGCTGCACAGGGCTCACGTCGACTCCTCCGACTCGCTTCGAATCGGTCGACTCCGATTCCGACTCGATTCGACTTCGGATTCCGATCTGGGCCTCGGTTTCTCAATGTGGGTCTTGTTTGCCGGTTTCCGCCGGTTCGACTTCTCCCGCCTTGGCTGCCGAGTTCTGCCGATCCGATTCATTTCGGTCGCCGATCGGACTTGTCGATTCGATTCTGGGCTTGCCAGCGCACAGCAGGACGCCTGCGAGGCACCTCGGCCTCGCTCAGCATCTGACCGCTCGAGGGGTCCCTCCTTCGAAGAAGAACAAGAAACATGATCGAAAGCAAACCTTCTGGGGTTCCGCGCGGATTTCTCGGATCTGCCCAGGGGCCCCCTGGCAGCGCCTCCGGCGCTGCCTCTGGCGCGCTCCGCGCGCTAGGGAGGGGGGTCTGGCGCTGATCCCAGAAATCCGCGCGGACCTCCCAGCGTGTATGTGTATACAGTTTTTCTTCCTCTTTGGACCTGGCTGCTTTTCCCGACAGCACCAGCACCCGATCGAAGAGGACGCCTGGACGTCGGCAGCGGCGAGAAACCCTCCTCGGACCTCCAGGAACCTCGAACCTCACTCCAGCCTCTCGCGCTCCTTGCATCGGAGCGCTGACTGGAGAAGTCGGGGGGCCACGGGGGGCTCCGACACCGTCCCCGGGTCATGCTTTTCACCCTTGGGCTGATGAACCCGTTTTCCACCACCACCACCATAAGTTGGAAGGGGGAAAGAGGAGGAGGAGGGCGAGGAAGAGGAGGAGTAGGAGGAGGAGGAGAAGGAGGACCCCCTCCCCCTCCAACTTATGGTGGTGGTGGTGGAAAACAGGCCCATCATTGGGCTGTTTCTCGACGGTGCCGGTGCGAGGGGGCGGCCTCCAGAGGCCGAACGCGGGTTGATCAAGCGGCCATCACGAGTCTCCTGCGACGCCTGGAGCTGAAGGCTCCTCCTCGGAATCGCCCCCCAGACCTGCCCCAGGGCGCGACTCGGCAGAATTTCCAGCAGAAGCCGCGGCCACTAGAAGCCCCACGGCGCCTCAGAGAGTTAAGACAACCATATCAGAAGTCCAAATCCGGGATGCTCGGCGAGAAACCTCAATCCTCGATGCTAGAAAATACGGCCGTAGCTTCGAGAACCCCCCCCTGGAGACCCGAAAAATGATGAAGTCGGAGGTTGGGGGGTGAGTTCGAAATGAAACAGAGACCCCCCAACCGGGAAGTCGGTTTCGGTGTCGTCTTCGTGTCCTGCATGCGGGCGAGACGAAGCTGCGCGGGCGGGCAAGAGGAATGAACCCGCCGTGGCCAGGGCGACACTGAGCTAAATGGCTCTACGCCCCCTGGTTGGCCGGCAGTGGCTCGGGGGTGTCCCACTGGTGTCCCGTGGTGTCCCATGGTGTCCCGTGGTGCCCCGTGGCGCGGTGTCCCGTGGTGTCCCGTGGTGTGCCGTGAGGTCGACTGCGATATCGATAGTGAGATTGATGATGAGATCGGTAGACATATCGATAGTGAGATCGATCGGGAGATCGACTGTGGTATCGAAGGATCGTGTGATCGATTGGTAGAGGGAAGTCGATATACGATATACGATATACCATATACCATATACGATATACGATATACGAATATATATATATATATATATATATATATATATATATATATATGTCTATGCACATGTGTGTATATTTACAGATCGATAGTGAGACCGATAGGTAGATCGAGCGTGATATCGATAGATCGATGGTCAAACAGGTGCTCCGTGGTGCCCAACTGTCACCACCCACCAAACCACCCCAACCCAACCCGAATGCCTCAATTTGCCTTCCATTTCCAGTGAGGGGGGATCGGGGAACATCGAAAAAACACATATGGAGCCCATACCCCCCCCCAACCCGAAATTCGGGTCTTCGGGTTGGGTTGAGGTGGTCTGGTAGGTAGTCAAGCTGGTTTCCACCGAATCCGACCCGACCCCAATCGCACACTGAAAGCTGACCCCCCCCCACAACCTTCTTACCGCCCGAAGGATAATTGCATAGGTAGCGGAGGAACATGCAGAACCAACTGGTAAACGCGACATGAGATCATGCCAGTATTTGTCCGAGGGCTACGGCTCTACTCGTCCTGCCCAACTGGGCGCCGCGGCTCTACTTGCAGCGGAGCCCGATGGACGCTCGCTCGCTCGCTTCCCCCCGCCAGCCTCTCCCCTTGGCAGGGAGCTCTGGCTGGAGAACCAGCTCCACCGGCACCGCGAGGCCACCTCCGCGCCCTGGGGTGCGCTGCTGCAGGATAGGGGGCTCGGTCGCCGCCATTGCCGCCGCCGACGTGGTCGCCGCAGTTGTTCCCATGCCCCTTTGCGTCGTGAGAACTGCGCGGCGATAGGTTTTGGCTTCTCTTTATCGGTGCTCTTTTTGTCCATCGTTTTTTGTACCAGGCTCCGCCTCTGGGGGCCCTCCCCCGGACCCGGGGCCGTCAAGGCACCACTCGGGATGGACAGCCGGGTTCGGGGCAATGGGTCGAGACCTCTGGGGGGCCGACGTTGCGCGAACAATGTCATGGCGTCGGGGGTCGGAGTTTACAGGCCTCCGTCGTCCTGGGGAGATCAGTCCAGGCCTCCCAGATGGGATCCGAGTAGATGGGGTCGGAGGATCGCGCCGCATCGCCGAGGCATCGACGATGCGGCTCGATGTGGAGACCGTGTTTCCCAACGGCGACGTCGCCGATGCATCGTATACATCGGCGATGCATTTGCGATGCGGCGTGATCCTTCGACCCCGTCTTCTCGGACCCCATCTAGGAGGCCTCAGATCAGGGCGGAGGCTGCCCGCGAGTCTGCGGCTCCCGGCCAGGGGTCCGGGTCCGGACCTCGAGGCCGTCGGGAAGCGGCGTGCGGCAAGGCACTTGTCTTCGGGAGGGGGTCGGAAGAGTTCGGGGGCCCGCGGTCTGAAGAAACATTGCGTTCAACGTCGGAGGTCCAGGTCTACGTCGTCGTTATCGTCGTCGTCGTCGTCGTCGTCGTCGTCGTCGTCCGTCCTCGTCGTCGTCGTCGTCGTGGTCGTCATGGTGGTCGTCATGGTGGTCGTCGTCGTCGTCGTCGTGGTCGTGGTCGTGGTCGTTGTGGTGGTGGGGGTGGTCGGTGTCGTCGTTGTCGTCATGGTCGTCGTCATTGGCAGTCGTCGTGCTCGCCGTTATCGTTGCTGCTGTCGTCGTGGTGGTCGTTGTCGTCGCCGTCGACGTTCGACATCCGAGGTTCGAGGACCAGGCGTTGTCAAACGGGCACCAGCAGGAATGTCCGGCAGCCGGTTCACACCACATCGAAGTGTTGCGGCCGTCGTTGCGAGGCGAGCTTGCAGGTCTCGGCCAGCTCTCGGGGCCCCGCAGGGGGCCCCGGGCCCTGGCGCTCCCTGTCCCCGCCTCTCCAAACAGCGCCGACGTCGAGGACGTGTGCCCGTGCGTGGTTTTCACCCTTGGCGCCGCCAGGAGGCGCCTCGTCTCCACTCATCGAGTACAAAAGAGCCCCTAACCTGAAATCGGGCGTGTCCCTCTACAGGAGGAATGTCCAAGCATAGTCAAAACATGGTCTGGGGACAACGCTTCTACTTTTTTTGTTGGGGCTATGTTTGAATATGTTTGGATTTTGTTTCATTGTAGAGGCCTCCCGCTGGTGCCGCCGATCTGGGACGTTCCCGCTGTCAGAAGGACGCTTCCGCCCCAGCGCGCCTGTTCAAACGTAAGTGGTTTGGAAACAGCTCGGAGGCATTGCGTGGGCTTCTTGACGGGCCTCTACGACGCATTTTCGAGGCCTGCTGGGGGGGCGTCTTGGAGGTGATTGTTGAGCCTCTTGGGGGCCTTTTGGGCTTCCTGGGGGGGATGCAGGATGCATCCTGGAGGCCTCCTGGGGGTGTGTAGGAGGTAATGCTTAAGCCTTCGGGAGCGCTTTTGGGCGTCTTTGGGGGGCTTCTTGAGGGCCACTTGGGGCCTCTCGGAGTTTCTTGGGGACTCTAGGGCAATTTTGGTGCCTCCTGGGCGCCTCTTGGGCCGACTTGGGGCCTTCTGGGGCCGTCATGGAGCCCTCTTTGGCGCTTCTTGGGCCCGTCCTGGGGCCCGCTTGGGCTGTCTTGGGGGCCCCCCGGGCCGTCTTGGGTCCTTCTTGGGCCGACTTGGGGCCCTCTTGAGAGCCTCTGGGCCTGTTTTGGGGGTCGCTTGGGCTGGTTGGACACTGCGAAGGCCGAAGAAGCGAAACGGCAAACATGCACGTTTTCCAAAAAGGGAATGGGACAGGTTTTCCGTCTTTGGGCACTCTTAGGACCTGAGGTGTCGGGAGGGTACGTTGGAGGCTCCTGGAGCCGTCTGAGGAACATATTGAATGTCCTGGAGCGATGTTTCGGCCACTCAGGGCCCTCTGGGGCCGTCTGGGCAGCCGCTGGGTTTTTTATGAGCCCGCGTTCGAGCTCTCCTGGGCGAGGGGCCGACCCGGAGTGAGCTGGAGCTCCGATTTTGCCACCACAATTGACTCGGACGCCCCCCCTCCTACCCTGGCAGAGCCCCCCCGCCCCCCCCCCCCAGCAGAGCTGAAGCTCAAGAACTGAGGCTCAGGCTAATCTGAGTGTCTTTGAAACTCACACGCTGGATCGGCGGATTTTTCGTCCAAAATCCGCCTGTAGGAGGACACGCCCGATCTAACCCTAAATCCAATAACACGATGAAGATGTGGTCTCACTTAAGTCCCCTCCCAAAGGGTTAGTGGTCCTTTTATTGCTAATCATCCACGGCGTAATGCCCCCTCCAAGTTCTGGTCAGAGCATCTCCCAGGAACCGCTTGGGCCGATGCCCACCCACGCCCACAGGGCACCTGCTTCCTGTCTATTCTTCCTAGAACACCTTGACTAACTAAGGTGGCGGGGGGACGTTGACCAGAGGGATGGGGGGGATTGGGTCTCACATCATTACGTCCTTTCGCGCTCTACCATGACTGTCTGGCTTACCGTGTTGGTGTGACACACCACTGGGAAACGTAAGAAAAACACCAGCAGGCGAGCCGTTTTACCTTTGGTCGTTCTTGCACGCGTCATCCGACCTCTCCCATTCAATGTGACCCCCTCCGTAAGGCATCTTTTATCACGGTGTGATGTTCAGGTATTGTTTGGGTGTTCTTTTCCCTATTCCCTATGGCTTCCTGCTTCTTTACTCTGCGCCCGCATGGGCACCTTATCTATTACCACTTCTTGTTGCATCTCCTACGTCCGCACTGGGAGCAGCCTTCATTTGTTATCACTGGCTCAAGTCGGCGTTGTCCACACATGGTCCATACATCCACATTGGTACTCGTCCGTTGTGGCTTGCTTGCGCAACAAGGTTGATCCGCTTCATCACATTGTACAGCTTGATCCTATCAATTCTCCAGACAGAAAATCTTATACCTTCCATCCGTAATATCAATTCACCAGATAGAAAGACCCACCGTCCCCCAATCCAGTAGTAAAGACGGGTAGCTGGGTGAGAAGTCGGTAGGGCCGAGGCTATGCACGGGGGCCGTAGCTTTCCCGCGCATCGCCCCCCGTCGCTGTCACGGTGGCCGAAGCCACTGGAGATACTCGACACACCCAGCCGTACAATAAACCATCCAACCAGTCAGTACGTCTACAGCCGACTCATGGAATGCAAGCGCAGTCGTCCCCGTTGGATCGATTGGCCAGTCCCTGAGGCCCCGTAGGGCATTCCAGAGGAGTGGCGTCCAGTATGTAGTAGGTCGAGACGGGCTGGCGCATCAGAAGAACGTACCCACCAGTTTCATCGAAGTCGTCTCTGAGGTCGGCAGCGTCCACCACACTCAGCATTGAGAAGGTATCCTCCAGCATCCAGCCGAAGAACAGGTCAGGGAGGTGGTCGGCGCACCCCACGGAAGGCAAGCACAGACGTCCACACTGGATCATTTGGCCAGTCCTTGGAGCCCCGAAGGGCATTCTGCGGGAGTGGCTGCGGATGCAGTAGCTGGTGCATCTTGAAGAAAATACCCACCAGCACTGAGTTCCAGCAGAACCTCTACCCCCCACCCCACGCGCTGGTATCCCCCGCCTACCGCGAAAGGGGTGCCCAGGGGGTGGGAACGGCAGAGTGGCGACTTGAACCAGGCATGCTTGGATTTTGTACAGTATAGTGTGAGGAAACCTTCCACTGCAGATGGCGGCCGTGATCTGATACCAAGTGGTCTTGTTGGCTTGACATGGGCACTTCGTGCAGGCAAGCTCCAGGTTCGGGTGCGTCGGTCTGAAAGGATGTAGGACGTGACATCGATTGTCTGGGATCTCGATTCGCTTGTTGTGCTCCACGATCAGGGTGTTGTAGTCGTCTGTGGTCCTCTTGGCTCCAACGCGATGTGTGCCAGTCGGCTCCCCAGGTGTACATAGTAGCCTTGGCCATTGGCTGGAGCGCTGAATACCCTCCATCCTCTGTTTGCAGGTGGGGCAGAACAAATGAGGTGCTTGGTCTCTTCTAGCTCCAGTAAGCGGGCCCAGCATATGATAACCTTGCTGTCGAGCTTCTCTGTTATGACGGAGGCGGTTCTGTTCGTCGATGAGGGCACGGCCTATCAAGCCTTCGAACTCACGCGTCTCTTCAGGAGTCCACTCGATGACATTGCGCAGCTTCTGGACATATACAACTTACTTGGTGTGTGTGTGTGCCTTTCTCCGCCAGGCCAGCCACTGATTCCATTGCTCGTCTCGGCAGGTCACTATCTCTAATTGACTTGGTAATATCTTCCTTGAGTGGTGACACTGTCCACATCGGCTTCGACGGCGAACACCAATCAGAAACAATGTCGAGACTACCCTTTCGGTCAGTGGTGGCCAAGGCCAGGGCATACAGGACTCGCATGGTGTGGTTGTGCGCCGCAAACGTGGACCTGCATTTGCAGCCAGGCGCGAGCCTTAGCCCCAGCGGGGTGAGGGCGCTGAGCTCCATGTAGGTAGGTCGAGGTGCCAGATCACACTTGCATAGCTTTGCCATCCGTGCAGCCACCGTGGCAACGTAGCGTGCCAGTCTGAATATCTTCGCGTCACTCGCGCTCTCCTGGGGTGTCACCAAGGGGAGGCCAGTAGCTATGGTAAAGTCGATTGCCAATTCTACCCACGTGACGGACAGAGGAGCTCGAACAGTATCATCTGCTTCCCAGTGTAGCTGTGCGAAGTACCACGCCACCGCTGGGAAACGCGTCTGTTGGTAGTACCACTTTGCCATTGGAGTTGATTGGGGCAAGTTCGGGGCGAACTTCCAGTCGGTGAGGTTGGGCGTGATGGGGTCCCAGTGATATCCAGGGAAAGCTTGCTTGGTCGGGTTGGTAGTTGCTTGATCTAGGGCAAGCTCGCTGTTGGAGCTGCTGCTCGGTCTCGGACGACTCGAAGGCGTAGCAGTCGTAGTGCTTGTCGCTGGTTAGGTTGCAGTCGGCGTAGTCACTGGTGATGCCCTCGTCTTCTTGCCGTGCAAGCGTCGGGGGGTGCCTGGCGAAGGCGGTGGAAGATGCGCAGGTGGTGGGCTCGGCTGGTCATGGTCAGACTCGTCCATGCCTAGGTGCGCCCATGGGTCTTCTTCTTCGTCTTCCCCAGGTAGGTCAGGACGATTGCCATCAAGTTCTGCTTGTTCCATGGCACGAGCTTGATCGCACCTGGCGTTGTGTGTGTGTGTGTGTCGCGACCCATCTCCGTCAGTGCCTTGGCACGGCTCTCGAGGATGACCGTGGCGGTGTGTTGGAGCAGGTAGCACAATTGCTGACCTCGTAAGTGTCGTTGCCGCAGTGTTGCTGGGGGGGCGTGTGAACGTGCAGCTCGGGCTGCACCTTTGTCCGCAGCCTGGTTGGGCTCCCGCGGCGTGCGCTCTTCGGCGGGGACGTCCCGTTTACTGCGATGTGCTTTTTAGCTTCAGTACACGAAGCTGGTCTCGGCCTTGAGCTTCCAATCCCGTCTCAGTTGCTTCCCAAAGATCGACGTGCTGCTTGGTGGTCAGGGTCTCGCCGCGGAGCAGGGCCGTGCAATTCCGCACGCAGTATGCACTGTCGGTCAGGTAGGTTTGGGGGCACCACGACCACGCGACGAAGTGCCTCAATGCTGATACTTCGGCACGTTGAGCGCCTTGGGCCACTCCTTTGAGCGGCACCTCGATGTTGCAAGGGTGTCCGTTGCCATAATGAAGAGTGTAACCAGATCTACGAACCCGAAGGTCCGATGCTTGCCCAGGGCAGGAGCCATCTCCTGCGACCACAACATATCCATCGATCTTGATCAGCACCGTGTCCTCGTCATCTCCCGCCTCGTAGTTCTCGTCGCCGTGATGGGGCGGAGGTTGGAGCGGCAGCTCGTCAGGTAAGAGTTGGCAGGCAAACTCATCATATGCTGGTCTGTCGGGCATATGTCCGCAGCACAGTAGACACGTGGGCAGGGCGTGGAGCTCCTCCCGCGTGTAGCTGGACAGTATCGCTGATCTCTGAGATCCCCACTTCGGGCAGTCCAAAAGGATGTGCGGCATCGTCTCGTCGGGGTCGACACAGAAGGGGCACCTCTTGTGGCTGGCTTTCTTGGTGATGTGGTGCAGGCGATGCCCCGTGTTAGTCGCTCCTTGAAGGTCGGCTCTGAGGAACGGCACCTGCTTAGTAGTAAGTTGTGGTACTGGAATGTCGGAGGCTCCGAGGAGGAGAGGTGGTTGGTCTTTGGGTTCATCGTCCACGTCCTCGTCGTCGGGCTTCGTACTCCTCTCGGCCTTCCTCAGCAGGGCGGTGGTGACGTGATAAGTCAAACCCATGTTCCCAGTGGTACCTCCTTTCGTGTCTTTTCGTTCCAGGAGCTGAGGGTCTCGTCGCCAGACAAATCGCCTCAGATCTTCTCGCAGCGTGTGAAGCCACAAGCCCTGCGGGTGTTTCGTAAGGTAAATATGCTGGCCAGTCGCCCCCTGGAATTATTCAAAGGTAGGCCATTCCCAGTTTAGATCTTGCAGCACAGCGCGAAGTCGGTTGATGGGGCCAGTGTTGCTGTCCTTGACAGTAGTAGTGACTCTGTTGTGCAGGATGTCCCAACATTTGTTTTGCTCGTGGAAGTAATCGAGGTCCATTCGGACTCTTGAAAAGTCTGCGCGCGATAATCAACGGTTGAGCCGTAGCGATCTGCAGTGGATCGATCAAGTGGCCTCGCATGACTAGCGTGAGCGTGATCGCCGGTGATCTGAAAGCACGGCCCCTGTGCCACAGGGACTTGATGACCGCCGACCTGAAATTCAGGTGGTTGTGCTTCGGGAGGCGTCGAAACTCAAGGCCAGGAGCAAGTCGAGGTAGAGCTGCCTTCGCGCGCAAACGTTGTTTGCCTTGGAGTCCAAACGGTGCACCGCCTGTGCGCTGTGTGACACGATAGGCTGCGGTGTAACGCCGTCTCCTATCATCATGCGAGCACATGCCGAAAGTGCATATCTCCCATCCCACCAGGACCAGGTTCCGTACCACTTGGCAGTTCTCGTGTCCCTTGTATGTGAGGGCAGCTTTCAGCACAGTCTCGGTCTTCAAGGGTATCGCGAAATGCTTCGTCTTCGGGATGTTTGTCTGTGTGCCGGCATGCTCGTCGAACTCCAGGGACACGGTGGTCGCCTTAGCCGTTCGCACTGCGTGGTGAGGCCCTTCTGCACGAAAATTGCCGTCATCAATGAAGTAGGTAACCTTCATCTCTGCTTCCTTCTCAAGGGCGTGGCTCCATACAGACATCAGCGCAAGCGCCTGCTGGAGGGACCAGGGGTCCCCTTGGACAAAGCCGTTGCTGCGCTTCTTCTCAGGGCCGACTGCAGGGGAAACTTTTCAGCGAGCTCGGAGATCCTGGTAGAAGACCTCGGAGGCGTGCAATACACCCGCAGGACAA